GGGCCTGGGGGGAGGGAGCCGCACGCTGGGTGCTGAGGGGGAGTCGGGTGCGGCCGGACTCCAGGGCAGCTCTGTCCCCAGAGAGCCAGAGCCGGGGCACGGTGGCCCCGCTGCCCTCCCGCCCCTTCGTAGATGGCGTGGGCAGACCCATGACACCACAGGTTGTGACCTCCGTCCTCCCCACACCTCCCCCTTATTCGTTTTCGCTTCTGTGCTTTGTGGGATCGTGTCAGATTTAACATGTTGGAGCTAGTGGGGAAATAGAATACAGTGGCAGAAAGGCGCCGCGCGGCCGGCCTTGCGGGCGGCAGCTGTTTCAGAGAGCGGCGAGTCTATTCTGGACTGGCGCCCTTTCGCTCCTGTCTGAGACGGCCGTGGACTGCCATTTCTGCGCGGTCGCTGGGACCATTCGATGGCTTTGTTAGTGTCGCTAGTGCGGGAAGATCGGGGGCTCCGTGTCGTTGGTCAGGTGTGCGCCGGCCTCCGATTCATCGTGTGGTCGGCGTGTCGGCGCGGGACGGGCCGATAGGGTTCTCGGGTGGGAAGCCCGACAGCCCCAGGGTGGCAGCAGCCGGAGAGGCGGGCGGGGAGATTGCTGGGACACGTCTCCAGGGCCAGGCGGGCCGGGAGACCGCAGACCTGTTCACGTGAGGACTCGCACCTGGGTGTTCTCGGCAGCACCGTTCGCGACAGCGAGAACATGGGGGACCCAAACGTTCATCGATGGGTGGATGGAAGAACCAAATGTGGGATCCCCGCACGGTGGACACGATCCGGCCGTGAGAAGGAAGGAGGCGCCGACACGCGTCGCAACACGCGTGGACCTTGACAGCGTGTGCGAGTCAAAGGAGCCAGACACAAAGGTCGCGGGTTGCGTGATTCCATTTATAGGAAATGTCCCGAGAAAGTAAATCCACAGGGACGGAAAGTAGATGAGCGGCCGGAAGGAGTGGTGGGAAGGAAGGGATGTGCCTGCTCGTGGGCACAGGGTCTCTTTGCGGGTGAAGAAATGTCCCAAAATGGGTTATGGCGATGGTCGCACAACTTGGTGGATATGGGAAAAGCCACCGGATAGCACGCTTTGCAAGGGCGGACTTCGTGGTGTGTGAATTCTGTCCCCGTGAGGGACGGCAGGTGCTCTGGGCTCCTTGGTGGTGCCCGTGTGGGGCCCCTTCTCTATGAGTTAAGGGTCGCGGTGATCCGGGACTTGCAGGACTGGTGGGGGATGCGTGGCCTGGTGTTACTGTCTCAGGGCCCTGGGGACAGTACCGTCAACATTTACACATTCAACCCCCTTCCCCACAGCAAGGTGACAGGTAAGCCCCTTCACTGGCGTGTCTCCCCTTGCCTGGGTTCCCAGCTGGGAAGAGGCTCAGTTTCACCAAAGCGACCGCCTCTGCCAGGGCTCCCCTGGGAGTTCCCCGGGACGTCCCGGCAGCCGGGCTGGGTGGAGAGGCTCAGTGCACCTGCGCCCCTCCCCTGCCGCCCCGTCCACAGACCGAGAGAAGCTCGTCTCCCCCTCCCGCCCCCGCCCCTGGCTCTCCAGGCCACTGTCCGGTGGCCTCTGCGGCCCTGGTCTGTGCTCCCTGCCCATGCGTGCTCTGGCCCTTGCCTTGTCCAGGTGGCACTGGCGGGGCGAAGCGGTCACGCCCTCCTCTCCCGCAGGTTCTCCTGGACTGGGTCAACGACGTGCTGGTGGAGGAGAGGATCATCGTGAAGCAGCTGGAGGAGGACCTGTACGACGGCCAGGTGCTGCAGAAGCTCCTGGGTGAGTCTGTCCCGCCCCACCCCCTGCAGAGCGCCCTCGCGGGACCCCAGGATTCTGCAGTCAGATGCTCTACCACTGAGCTGTACCCCAGGACCCCAGGATTCTGCAGTCAGATGCTCTACCACTGAGCTGTACCCCGGGACCCCAGGATTCTGCAGTCAGATGCTCTACCACTGAGCTGTACCCCGGGACCCCAGGATTCTGTACGCGGCAGCCTCGGCCACGCAGCTGGGAGCAGACTTGGAGCTGCAGTGCACACCTCCCCGGTGTGTCCCCCAGATCCTAGGCTGTGGCTTCATCGTGTGTTGAAGATGTTCACAGGGGACCCACCCTGGGGCTGCAGCAGCTTTCAGAGCTTCCAGCAGCTCCTGTCTTGCGGGTGCTTGTGCCCTGGGGGAGAACGGAGATGGGGCAAGAGCAGGGAGCGTTTCTGCAGGCCAGCAGCTCTCCTGCCTGCTGCACCCCTGCCCCGCCCCGCCCCGCCCCAGCCTGGTGGCTTCTCTGGCTGTGAGTGCTTGTCTCAGGATGGGAGGCGCTGGGAGGGGGGCAGGTCCCCAGCAGATGTTTTGTGAGCTGGTGAGTGAGAAAGCCCTTGGAGTAGGGTGGGGGTAGAGACAGAGGAGCTCGGTGTCACATGTGAGGTGGAGATGCCTGTCCTCGTGGAGTCGCCGCTGGGTGCGTGGGCCTGGAGCCCAGGCTTCCCTGCAAATGTGGAGCCCGCAGCCCTGAGATGGTGTTGGCTCCGCGGGACTGGATGCCTTCACCTGGAGAGTGTGCCCCAGATTTGTTATCTGGCTGAATGCCAAATGGCCGAGAATTAAAATTTACGTTTGGCCTAAGGTGAAAATCCTGTCTTAGGATGGGCTCCCATGGTACCAGAATAAATATGAAATGTCAATCAAGATCGTTTCATAATTATCGCAATCTTATAAAAAAAGTGAGTGGTCAGAGTTTTGATGTTTTCCGTTGCAGTGTCAGTACAGTCCTTCTCAGCACCGTCAGACGCTAGTTGATCTTGAGTCTTCAAACCAGACACATGATGCTAGACACTCACTTTCAGCCAAGAAGGCTAGAGGAGCGTGTCGATCTTTAGCTGGTGCTGGCTGAAATGGCACTACCCGTGGTGAGGCTTATCCTGGGTTGTTGGTTCTTCTTCCTCTCTAAGAGTGATTACGGTAGAGACTCACCTCCTCTCCACACTTGTACTTGAGGACACTTGTACTAGCTGTTGGTGACCGTGTTCCTCTGTTGAAGCAGTCCCTCAAATTGGTGCATTAGCTGAAGCAGATACTTCCTAATATTTTCAGAAGCAAACTTGAGTGTTGTGTTCACTTACATTTTTTTATTTCTGATTCTTTCGCCTGTACCTGCTGCTTCTCCCACCCAATCACTTGAGGCAATGTGTCCCTGAGCCTTATATATAGCAGCGCGACTGTGGGCCTGGCCCTGGGGATCACAGGACTGGCTCTACATTTGCATCTGCACCTTAGCCATGGCTGCCTGTCAACAATGCCAGCACTGTCCTTGGAGTGGAGTGGCAAGGGGCGCTGTTAGGGCAAGTTTCCATCCCTCTGAAGACACATCCTTTTGGTTCCCTCTTCAGTTAGCCCCAGCAAATGCAGCCCTTGCCCTGAAGTTGCTGTGCTTGTTAGTGAGTCCTGCTACATCAGTTTTGTCACCTGTAAAGTACAACATGAGGCTTACTTTGGCTCACACAGCATTTTTATCATGGAGTAGCTGCTGTTCTGTCTCATTTGAATATCTCACATAAGTGCTTGAGAAAGCAGCTCTAAAATCTCTTGTATGTCAAGTGGTTTGACATGACATTTTGAAAAACAGAAGGATGGAAGAGAATGTGCAGATACTAACAACATCAAAATGTCTTGCCTGCCTGTGTGAATGATGTTGTTAAACTGAGGAAAGGTAAGAGTAATCTATGTGATCACACGGTCCTGGGGCCCAGAGATGCCAAGAATGGCACTGATGTAGGCATTCAGCTCTTTGGCTTTCCAAAGGCATCTGTGCTTCGCCAACAGAGAGGAGGCCTGAGCAGTGGGCCCTGGGCTGTCAACCGTCAGTGGTGGGGACCAGGAAGTACCAGCGAAGGAGTCTGGCCGCATCAGCCATGAGGGAGGGGACCAGAGGAGCGACGCATTTGGGAGGGACAGAGGAGAAGGTGTTTCAAGGAGGTGGGAGTGAGTGGGATGAAGGCAGAGAACAGACCTCTGGGTTTGGCCACGTGGAGGTTGCCCAGGGTCCGCCGCCAGCAGAACCCCAGGTGAGACCCTCTTCTTGGGAGGAGATTCTGGAAGCAGCTTCCAGGTCCTCTGCCGCAAGCCGGGTTTCTGTGGGTGTAGCTCTTCTGTGTTTGCAGCGTCACTCTCTAGGTAGACTGTGTATGGCTAGAGTGAGGGTGCCCGTGCTGGGGGCTGCGGGACCTCCCGGGGTGGCTGTTGCTGTGCCGCAACTCACGGACATGCCCTGTCCTCGCCCTTCCTCATACGTGTTCACGGCCCCGTGTTTGGCCATCACCCACGGTCACCTGCCACACGTGGGAATCTGCCCCCCCCCTTTCTCTGTCTCTTTCTGCGCTGGGAAGATAGAGGTTTCTTGGCCACAACAAAGCCCCGAGCAGCTCCTGCGACCCCGTCAGTGAGCTCAGTGATTCTGCTGATGTGGGCAACCGAGTCCCTTATTCTGGTCACACAGGAGAGTCACCAAAGCCCCAGCCCGAGGCAGCACCCGGGTACGGCCATTCTCCTTCGTCTCTGTTATGGGCTGAATTATGTCCCCCCAAAATGCCCATGTTGAAGTCCTAATCTCTGTGCCTTGGAACGTGACCATGTTGTTGAAGCCCAAATTGAGGCTCCCGTACCCAGTGTGCGGCTAAAGCCAAACACGGTGACATCGGTGCCTGGAGACGGAGAAGGGTTTATTCCATCTGGCCAGAGTGAGAAGGCAGGAGAGCGGAGTCTCTCAGATCTGCCTTAACAAAGAGGTGAAGTAGGGAGCTTTTGGGGGGCTCAGGAAGGAGGTTGGAGGGGGGCTTCAGGAAGCCAAAGGGGAAATTCTGTATTGTTTTTAATCTCAGATAGCGCCTTGAGGAACCAGGCCTCTGGGCATCAGCAGCCAGTTGCAGCTTTCCTAAGGGCTTTCGTTCCTTCTGCAGAACACACTCACAGATTGTCCTGTGACCCTGGGGTTACCTCCTTCTGTTTGACAAAGAAACAGCCTCAGCAGTTACTAACTGCTGGGAGAGCAAGCTGCCGGGCAGGAAGCGAGTGGTTCACATGCACAAGCTAACCGGGGCCTGGTGATGTTACATTATTTGTCATTAAGAAAATTCTGGGGCACTAAAGTCTCAAGGGGCCTGGCAACAGCTGTATTTGGGGACAGGGCCTCTAAAGAGGTCGTTAAGTTGAAATGAGGTTATATGGGGGGGAGCCCTACTCCGATAGGACTGGGGTCCTCGTAAGAAGAGGAGATTAGGACGCATACACACAGGGACAACCACGTGAGGACGGGGGGAGAAGACGGCATCTCCCAGCCCAGGAGAGAGGTCTCAGGAGGAACCGGCCTTGCCGGCACCTTGATCTTGGACTCCTGGTCTCCGGGACTGTGCGAACATGGGTTTCTCTTATCGCTCAGCCTGCGCTGCTTTGTTCCGGCAACCCCAGCACCCCGAACGGTTTCCTTCCCTTCTCCGTGGGCTCCTCCTCCTCTGCCCCACGTGACGTGGCCGCGTTCAGTCCGCGGGGCTGGCTGGTGGCGGGGCCAGTAGGGGCGTGCCGGGTCCCCCATCTCTCCTGGGGCCACCTGGACCCTACGACGACCCTGTCTCCCCCCTTCCTTCTCCAAGGGCGCCTGCTCCGCCCCGTCCTCGGTTGCTGCGCACCCGCGGGGCCGCTCGCTGTGCGCAGCCAGCTGTGCGTCACCCCGCTGGGCGCTGTGGGGTGCAGATGGCGGGGAGCAGGACGGGTACATGGGGACCGTTTGCATTCCCTCGCAGGCCGTGTCCTGTCGGGTCGCTTTGTGCTTCCTCTCGCACTCTGCACGTCTCAGTCTGATGTCATTGAGTGCGTCTGTGCCGTGCCCAGCGACAGGTCGGTGCCTGGCACATAGTAGGTGCTTAGCAACTGTTTTGTGAGGGAGCAAAGTGAATGAATGAATGAATGAATGAATGAATGAATGATTGAAGGCATCTGCAAGCCCGGGAGGCACTGGTGTATAATTGTGTTATCCCGCCGGGGCCACCAAGGCTGGTTTCCTTGTCACCGAGGGAGGGGAGGCTGTGGGGGAGGCGGTGTCCAAGCTCCGGCTGGAACGCCGCACACGGGGCCGTGAGTGGGGGCCCGTGCCCAGTGGAACCCCCGTTGGTGACCGGCCCGGCTGTGACTGCTGTAACCGTCTCCCCCCGAGACGTGCTGGAGGCTCCGTGCTGAGCGCCTTGCAACCGCCTCCCGGCGAGTCCTCTCCCGGCCGTGAGCCGTGTGTGACTCGGCCTCTGTCTTGCAGAGACCGGTCGGTCAGGAGTCTTAGAATAAAAGCGTGGGAGGGAGCCCTGGGGGTCCTTCTGCTTGTGTGCAGGCGTGGGGTCGCGGGCTGGGGGCTGGCGCTGCCGGCACCGCCTCTGGCAAAGCACCAGCGGGAGCACAGGCCGCCGGGCCTCAGTCCCGGTAATTGAATCTCGAGCAGAGGTGACAGCTCCCGCTGGGCTCCTCGAGATTGCTTCCTGCTCTCGGGAGGTAATGAAGCAGTCGTGAGTTCCGTGACTGTCTAATCAGACTTCTCACAGTGGTGTCAGAGTGCTGGAGAGGCGAGGCCGGGAGGCTCAGGTGCGTGGGGAGGCGGAAGGCAACTTCCCAGGTGGTTTCTTGTTGTCTTTGTCAAGGTCTTCCCCCTTCTGGGACCCGCGGGGACAGGTCCCACCTCCCGGCCCGCACTCCCTCTCCCCCCAGGTAGCTCCCTGGCTCCAGCCGCATCTCCAGTTATTTTTCCCATTTTACGTGCATAGCGTGTTCCTGAGTGTGACACCTGTTCTATCCTTCGTTCCTCTCCCCTTTTCATTCTGGGGCAATTTTCTAAGCGTTATTTCTAAGCTAATTCTGGGGCAATTTCTAAGCATTCCTGCATTGTGAACATCCCGCAAGTTCAGAGCTCCCCTGCTCAGCCTCGGGAAAAGCCCCCGCCCGTTGTCGTGTGCAGCTCTGCTCCACCTCGGGGACCCCATTCCAGCCAGGTCCCTCCGGCGCGTTCTGACCCTCTGCCTCTTGCTCTCGCCCTCCTCGTTGCAGAGAAACTGGCAGGCTGCAAGCTGGACGTGGCCGAGGTGACGCAGTCCGAGATAGGGCAGAAACAGAAGCTGCAGACGGTTCTGGAAGCCGTGCAGGACCTGCTGCGGCCCCACGGCTGGGCGCTGCGGTGGAGCGTGGACGGTGAGTGCCACGGCGCTGGGGCGGGGGCAGCGTCTGGAGGGAGCCCGTCCTCCCGACAGTCGTCACCGACAGGCGTCATCCAGTGTCTCCTTGCATTTTAAAAACCGATTCACCCTCCTGCTCCGTGCGAGGCAGCGTCGCCGGGAAAGGCAGGAGAGGAGAAAGGTCAGGGAGCTGGTGGAGGAGGGACTAGCCACACTGTGAAGCTGTCCCTCTTGTGCACAGAGAGGGTGGGCTAGGGACCTCCAGAGGCAGAAGCAGCACCCCGGGGTTCTGGCTGGGACTCAGCCCCAAATACCAATGGCAGCAACACCTGGTGAGCTGTTTTCTGATGACCTCCCGGAATGAGTCACAGGGCTGGCTGGCATTAGGAGTATGTGACGTCGCAATATTTCCAGCCAAGACATGAACCCGAAAGGTGAAAAACTAAACCAGGAGGAGCTGGAACGTTCTCCTCTGTCCTGGCCGCCCCCGTCCCACTCCTTAACCTTGAATTGGGGCCGTCAGGTTGTGGCTTCAGAGCCCTCCCTGCCCGGCCAGTGGCCTCTGTGGTCTGGGGGGCTTTGGGGACAAGACCGGGGAGCTGCAGGTACAGAAACCTGTCCCTGGTGTCTTGGTGTCGAGACCTCGGACAGACCCAGCGTGCTTTCTGGGTTGCCGGGTTTGTCGGTGTGAAACCAGGCGCTTTGTAAACTGTAAAGCCCTACACAGCAGTGGGGACCGTGACCAAGCCTTGGGCCCCATGCCGAGGACGGGACGGGAGGGACGTGGGCAGGGCGGGAGCTGGCGCCTGACATCCGCAGAGCAGTGCTCGCCCTTGACAGCCTCCCGTGTCCTCACGGCCACTGCACAGGGGCCGGGCTGTCTCAGTGCCAGAGATAATCACACGCATCAGAGTGATGGCTAAGTGGCCGTGACCTGTTTTTCTCGATCTTTTCCCTTCTGTTGTGCTAATTTTACTATCCTGCGTATTTTTCCTTCTTCTCACCATCCAGTCCGCTGCTTTTAAAAACATTATGCTTTTAATAGTAGGCACACAAGTCACCATAGGCCAACGGGAAGAAAAAAATAGAAACTAGAAACGAATCCACGCAGGATGCTCGTCAACTCTGAATTTTTCCACGGCCCCTTCTGTCCTTGTTGCCACCCTGAGGTCTGGTTTGGTCAGGGCGTCTTCGTCGGGGTTTGGAGGTGGGCTGTGGGTGCAGGCTGCCGTGTGACCTGGTCTGACGGGTGTCCCTCTTCCCTCCCCGCCCACAGCGATTCACGGCAAGAACCTGGTGGCCATCCTGCACCTGCTGGTCTCCCTGGCCATGCACTTCCGCGCCCCGATCCGCCTCCCCGAGCACGTCTCCGTGCAAGTGGTGGTTGTGCGGGTGAGTAGAGCCCAGGGGTCGGCCTGCCTGGGCTCTGCCGGGAGGCGCCGTGACTTCCCTCCTGCGGTTTTCCTGCCCTTGCTCCCCGCCTTGCCCCATGCCCTGCCCCGCCCCAGGGGCTACCGTTTATTTCCCCCCCTTGACAAAGTGTGGTCTCACCCCGGTTTGCAGGTCAGTGGTTGCGGCAGGAACAATGCAGGTGTTGATTTGATCTGAGGAGAGGCAGAACCAGGGCCGGGAGGGTGTTGAGGTTTAACTTTCCACGTTTTTGAAAAGAGCATTCATTTCTCGCTGAAGCCGACTGGTGGGACCTGGGTCCCTTTGAACGTGCCTGTTACTCGTTGGGCGAGGCGAGGCCTGGGGTGGGAACAAATGTGCAGGTGGCTTCTGCGTTAGCGCCGTCGAGCCCCGTCCTCTCTCCTCCCAGGTCCGTTTCTCTTGATTCACTTGCAGAAATGGAGCAGGACCCAGGGTCCTCCTAGTGGACGCCGGCGTGGGTTACCTTTCTCTAGCGGTTTCCCTTCCTGTGAGTGGACAGGCGCTGCCCGGGGTTCGTCGGGTCAGTAAGCTGCCCCGACAACTGCCCCGAGCCCGGCCGCCACTCGTGCTCCCGGGGACGGTGGACGAGGAAAACATGCTCGAGGTCTGAGCAGCAGCTGCCAGGGAGTTGAGGCCACGCTGGGGACCCGGCGTCTCAAGTGTTCATGCTGCTGGAGACATCGGCCGCACTCCCCCCTCCCCGGCTCTGGGCTTTAATCTTGCCAGTCCTGTGGTCTCCGTGGTCTGCGGGCCTGGCTGGGCCTGTGTTTTCCCAGGCGGTTCTGTCCCCTCCGCTGCGCCTGGGGCTCAGGCTGGACCGGACGGGAATGCCGAGTTCCGGCAACAGGCGAGGCCGCCCGCGTCTCCTGCGTTTCCTTCCCGAGGAGGACGTCTGTGGTTGGCGGTGGGGACTGGAGACCCGGAGGCCACGCCTGCGGCCCCTTGTCTTGGACGCCTGCTTGCGGGCATGGCCTGGCAAGGCTCCCCGAGGACGCCCGGGAATGCGGTTCCCAACCCTGCCTGCGTCAGACCAGGCCCCGGGAGGGCTCCGCGGGCTCCGCGTCCAGGGTGTTTCCTTTCAGGCCTGCGCTCGAGTCCAAGACAGTCTGCTGGGCTCGCGGGAGGCTTCGGCGACCCGGGCAAGCGCGCGCTGGTGCCTCGGCCTTAACCGGGGCTGGAGGAGGGATCCCTGGATGGTGCCCTGAGTGGAACGAAACGGGGAGAGGAGGTCCCGGCCACCGCTGGACGGCACTCCTCAGACCTAGGGCTGCCCCTGTCTTCCCCTGCAGTCCCCTGAGCGGTCCCCCCACCGCTGGGCTTACTCGGTGACTGGTTGTGCAGCCCAGGATGGGGCGATGGGAGGACTGTGGCATTTCTTGGGGGAAGGAGTGGAGGGAAAGGGCCTCGTTTACCACCCAGCATGTGGCCTTGGGCAGATCACTTGATTTCACTGAGCTGCGATGATTTGCCCCATCAAATTGAGATTATATCAAGGCAGGAGGATCACTTGAGGTCAGGAGTTCACAACCAGCCTGAGCAAGAGTGAGACCCTGTCTCTTCTGAAAATATAAAAATTAGCCAGGCATGGTGTCGCATGCCTGTAGTCCCAGCAATTGTGGGGCTGGGGCAGGAGGATCGCTTGGCCCCAGGAGGGTTGGAGGTTGCATGCAGTGAGCTACGATGACGCCACTGTATTCTAGCCTGGGAGACAGAGCAAGACCCTGTTTGAAAAAAACACACATACAAAAACCCTTAAAGGACCAGACACGTATTCCCTCGTAATCATGGGGGGCAGAGGTCTGAAATCTCGGGTCTGAGGGGCTGTGCTCCCTCTGAAGTCTCCGGGGGTGGGTCCTTCCCAGCCTCTTCCAGCTGCTGGGTGGCCGCCAGTCCTTGTGCTCTTGGCTTGTGGCTGCATCTCTCCTACCTCCGCCTCCCTCGTCACGTGGCCCCTTGTTTCTGGTTCTGTTCTCTCTTCTGATGAGGACGTGGGTCACACTGGATTTAGGGCTCACCGTGACCCATGTGGCCTCCTCTTAACTAGCACGTGCCAAGTCTGTCTCCAGGTGACACCCCATCCTGAGGTTCTGGGTGGCCGTGGGTGCTGGGGACCCTGTGCAGTTCCGGGCACGTCATTTTGTCATCAGCTGCTTCCCTGTCGTGATTCACGCTCCTGCAGATCGCACGCCTGACCTCCCCGAGCTGCGTGACGCAGAGGGTCCCTTCTGGGAATCCTGAGCTGGGGCGTCTGTCCTGAGACCCCCACAGACGCCAGCTCTCAGGGCGATGTGGAGGACAGCGGGTGGCGGGGAGCTTGCAGCCACTGAAGGCCCCCGTGGTCACCTGCAGTGCACCTGCCGGGTGTGGTGTGGCTGTCGGTCTCCTGTGCTCTTCTGTGAGGTGGTCCCCTGGCCCCAGCGCCGTCCACGAGCAGCTCCGGCTACCTGTCAGTATGTCTGTCCTTCCTCCTCATCTCCCTGCCTGCCTGATTTTTTGTATTTGTTGGTTTATTTTGGGGTTTTCAGAAGCGCGAAGGCCTGCTGCATTCCAGCCACATCTCGGAGGAGCTGACCACGACCACGGAGTAAGTGGACCCCGCGCCCTGCCCCTCCGGGCCCCGCTGCTGCTTCAGCCAGGGACGTGGGCACGTGGGGGGGGTTTCCCTACTCGTGTCCCCTGATCGTGGGCTGAGATTTTCCTTCAGACCCCCACCCTGGCTTTCCTTCCTCCACACGCTTTCTTCCAGGTTTTCAGTGTTAGAACCGAGTTATCTTCCTTATTTTCTGTGTTCTTTATTTTATAAGGTGAGCTTTAAGCATGTTGCAGGGATTGGGGTGGGGGAGAGTGAGAGAGAGAGTTTAAGGGGTTACAGAGACTGTCATCCACGGCGAGGGGGGCTGTGTCTAAACTAGCAGACGTTGTGAGCCACCTCTTGTCTCCCAGAGAAAGCCAGGGGGCAAGTGTTAAGAATTCTAAAATTCTTCAAAAGTGTTGAAAACAGCAAATCAAGTAGTATATGTCGTGTGTGGATTTTAGGAGCCCTTACGACACCCTGTTAAGGATCTTTAAAATTCCCTGCATTTGTGCCTCGACGAAACCTGTTTCTGATGAAAGAGAACATTTAGAAACTGTCTCAGCTAACCCCACCCTCCAGCTCAGTTCACAGAGTGATTAATTACTGCGTCACGAATTCAAAAATTGGAGCTGACGCAGGAAACCACTCACGGCGCTCGAGCCGTTGAAACTGCCGAGGCGCTGGTGTGCGTCTGATGCAGGCGCACGGGCGCGCCGAGGCCTCCCCGTCGGCCCTGAGCCCTCGAGGGAACGGGAAGAGCTGGGGGAGGGGAGGATGAGGGACCTGGCTCTGTGCACACCGTGGGCCTTGACAGCTGCTTGGCCGTTCAGCAGTAGAAGGGCAGCTTGGTGGGAACCGAGACTGGGCTGGTGTCTTAGTTGTCTGTTGTGCAACAAGTCACCCCCAAAACGATAGCCATTGCATTTCCTGCTGCAATTCTGCGGGTCAGCAGTTTGGGCAGGGCTCAGCCGGGTGGTTTTTGGGCTATTCTCACCTGGGGCCACTGGTGTGACTGCTGACATCTGCAGGCCCGAGCGGGGCAGGGGAGGCTGAGACGGCATTAGGTGCTGGCCTCACTCACGTGTCCTCCCTCCTCCTGGAGCTGGGTGTCTTCCTGGGGTGCCCTCAGGGTTCTGAGAGCCCAGTGCGGCTGCAGTCCTGGCTTGGATGCCCACGCCCACGTCCTCACTTCTGTGGGTCAGAGCAAGTCCAGGTTGTCGTGGGTCGGGGTGGGAGAAGACTCCACCTCCTGACGCAGGGGTGGCCCCTGCCCCACACTGCAGCAGGCCAGGCCTACTGCCACAGGAAGACGCCATGGCCGTCTTTGCATTCTCCCACAGGAGAGTGTGCTGGAGGGAGGGGAGCAAGGAGCCCGGAGCTCTGCAGACGTCCTGGTCCGGAGACAGTCAGGGAACAGGAGGGGCCTCAGCAGTTCCGCAGCAGGACCCGTGCGCAGAGGGCCCCGTGTGCCGGGCACCGTGGGGGCAGCGAGAGACGCTGAGAGGCTTATTGGACGCAGGTCCTCTCCCCCAGAGCTGCCTGTCACGCTGGCGAGAAAGGACGTATCCACAGAGACGTAAAACCCGGCATGGGGGCTCGTGGACGTGCCACGGGGCCCTCAGGGACTCTTGAGGAGGAGGGAGCTCCCCGAAGTCAGGGCTGGGGGATTGCAGTGGGAGCCGTCTCAGCTGGGCGCCGGACAGCGCTGAGCCGCGATTGACAGAGTTGCGATTTCCCGGCTCCGAGTCAGCGACACTCTGCCGGCTGGGGTCAGGGTGAGGCTGGCGGTGACCTCCGGGCTGATGCCCCAGGTCAGTCCTGTTGGCTCATCCCACCGTCCTGGTCTCCTGAGTCCAGGTTTGCTACCTCCTGTCCCTTTCCCTCCCGTGGCCGCAGAGGCCCTGCCAGAGCCTCTGAATCCCCGCATGTCTGCTAAGAACCACTTGGCAGCCTGAGGATCCACATTCAGTCCCTTAAGGTGTCATCGCCACCTCTGGTCTAGTCTCAGTGTTCCTGTTTCGCTTTCTAGAGGCAGCTGTGAGTGAGGCCACCTCCTCCAGGAAGCCCTCCAATTTACCAGCAGGAGAGCTTGGCTTCCTGTTGGTTCCCGTAGTGTCTTAGCACACGCGTGGTCCTCGTTGAAATACTGGCTTCTGCGTTTCTCTCGCCACCAGGCGCCCCCCCGGGTCAGGGGCCCCGGGGCATTGAGTTCTGCATCCCCAGGGCCTGCATATAGTAGGGGCTCACGGCGGTGTTTGTTGAATAAGGCGGAGCCAGAGAGCTTGTCCTAGAGGGGTCTGGGGACGGCGTCAAGCTCTGCGGCCTCCCAGGAGGGCAGCCTGTGGAAGGGCACCGTGCCCTTGGGCCCTGGGAATCCTTAAGGACAACCTGGTTGTTGTGTCCCTTGTGCTGTCACCTGCCAGCGACCCGGGCCTGGCCTGTGGTTCTTTTAGGGTCCTTCGGTTTCACGGGTCCCTGGAAGCGCATCGTGGAACGGGACGCGTGGCCGGTCTGCGGCCCGTGTGTGAGGTTCGCTGTCCCCGGCTGCCGGGAGACAGAGTCTTCTCCGCGTTAGCTGCTCTCAGGAGCTAAGCACCTGTCCTCCAAACGGCATTAACCTGTGCAAACAGCGATGGCGGTTTGCTGCTGATCTTGTGCAAACATCAGTAATCCACACAAGCACCTCTCGCTTGCAATTAGAGCAGGACAGAAAGTGGCAGAGCGCGACTTGCGTTGTCACCGGTGGGCCTGGCACCCGTGCCTGCCATCCTCTGCGCCGTGTCCAGCCGTGTCCAGCCGTGTCTGAGCGGCCGCTGACGACTCTTTGTGTTCTTGTTTGCAGGATGATGATGGGACGGTTCGGTGAGTAGCTCAGGGGCCGGTGGGTGGGGGTGGGGTGGGGTGGGGGGCGAGGCGTGTTGGGGCTGCCCCAGGAGCTCCGGTGCTGGCGTGTGCGGGCGAGCGGGCGTCTGGGGGGACATGCTGCCCCCAGCAGCGCTGGGATCCTGGCGAGTGTAGGTTTGTTTCTCAGAGCCACAGGGCTGGGTGGCGCTAGGAAGAGCAGGCTGGGAGGCTGGGTGGGCAGCGGAGGAGCGGGGTGCCTGGGGTGTGGCACCTGCTCGTGCTGTTGGGGACAGGGGCGGGAGGGAGGCGGGGTCAGCCTGAACATGGGGCACAACTGGTCGGGAGAGACTTTCCTTGTGGGATGGATGTCATGCATGTACTTCCTACCTGAAAATCGCCGGTTTAGTAGACTTCTTAGAGCCAGGCAGCAGCGGCCCAATCCCGGTGGGTGACCTCTGGCCTGCCCCTTCACCTGTCTGCTCCCCACCTATGAGATGGGAGAGTGGAAGGCTCCGCCTACAGGGCAGCTGAGGGACGAGGTGAGATTGCAAACGTGAGCCCTGCCCGGCCTGGCCTGGCCCTCCTTAAGTGCGGTGTTCAGAGGCTGTTCCCAAAGGGGGTGATTATTGCCTCTCCCACCTTCCCCCCAGATGAAGCCTGGGACCCCATGTTCATCTCAGCAGGTGAAGCCCCTGGCTGTCCGCCTGGCCGGGCTCGCTGCTTTGGGAGGTGTTCGAAACAGAAAGCCCCTGAGCCCCCCAATGCCCTGTTCTCCTTCGAGCAGGGAGGGGTGAGCCGCTGTTAGAAGGAAAAGTGGAAACCAGGTAGAAGTTTCCCTGCCTGCCTCTCAAGCCTGCCAGCCCGAGCTGCGGGGTCCTCTGGGTAGGGGTGCCACCTGCCCTGAGTGCCACCCGGTGAGGACGGGGTCGGCTTGGCGTGGGGCTCTGTGACCCCACAGAGCTGACCATATACCACCATTGTCACATACGGAGACCAGTTATGGCCCAAGTTCCGCAGGTCTTGCGTTGAGAAAATGCAGTCGTTTTGTGTCCCATAAGCTCTCTTTATAGATCCTAAGCTGTGCTGGGAAAATTCACGGGCCTTCACGATGCATTTTGTTAAGGAGCAATTCGGCCCTTTTTAATGTCTTTATTATTGAAAAACAAATGGAGGAGGAAAGAGCAGCCTCTTGTTCGCAGTTGCTGAGGAAGCAACGGCGGCAAGGACGCTAGCGCAGGGCAGCCCCTGCCACCCTGTGTCTAGGTGGGGGCCCGGGCTGGGGTGCAGGGCCCCTCTGTAACCTTTCGTCCTTTCTGCACGTGGGGAGGCTCGGATCCCCCAGGTATGAAGATGACAAGAGCGTGGGACCCCGGAGCGGTTTCGAGTGCCGTCTCTGGTTTCCCGTGCGGTTGTCCTGTGTGTTTGGTTCAGGTCTCGCTGGGGGCTTGGGGAAATCTAAGGAGAATCAGATCGGTTCGCCTGGGGACACACGAGCCTCGAGCTGTGTGCGGCACCCAGGCCCAGGGGAGTGGAAGCCTGGCCGGGAACGAGCTCATGAAACGCAAACAGGCCATTAGTCCGAGGCAGGCGATTAGTTCCGCCCCCGGCTCTGCCGCTTCTGCTGATGCAAGCTGCGAAGTCTCCTGGTTACGCCGACCGGCACCCTCGGGCGCAGCGGGGCCTGTGGCCAAGCCCTCACCTGGGCCGCAGCGGCAGGTCTTGTGGCTCCTGTCCGTGTCACTCGCCGCCCCCAGCCCTGCCTGCCCTGCCAGGACCTGGCTGAGACACCCCGATGGCTGGAGCCGTCTCTTCCCTGGCGAGCGTCCCGCAGCAGCTAGTCCTGGGCCAGGTCCGCCCGCGGCAGATCCCAGACGTTCCAGGAGCCCCCAGGGCACCAGGCGGGCCCTCCTTGGCGAAAGGCTGGGCTTTGGTGGGAGCTGTGTCCTGGGCCTCGGTTTCACCCCCGAGCACTCTGACCAGGGAGGGACAGGGCTCCGCTCTGTCCACCGCCGTCCCGCTGGGAGAGCGGGCTCCCGGCCCTGCCTGCCTCCTGGCAGCATCCCCCCGTCCTGGCCGAGGCGGGAGGAGGCTTTCCTCTCCCTGGAAACAGTCTCAGGGGAGCTGGGGAGGTTGCAGCCTGGTCTCCATGGCAACGGGCTTGCCGGTTGCCTCTTCTCTCTGCAGGCGGCCCTGCCCCCTCCCCGGGCTGCGCTGGCCCAGAGCCCCTTCCCGAGGCGGGAGGGGCGCAAGGGAGGACACCCTTTCCTCCCCCCTGCTGTCTCTCCTGTTCCTGCCAACCCAGCTTGTTCTAGAAACTCCAGGTCGCTCTCACCACCCCTGGTTCCGCGCCATCCACGAGCCCCTGGGTGCAGGGGCAGCCTGCTCCTGAGCTTGCTCCGGGCTTTCTTACACCTCCCTTTGTGCTTTCTGTCCCCTCTGCCCGGGATGCCCGCCTCCTCTTCTCGCCCCAGCAAGCGCCACTCAAACTGGAAGGCCCTTGGTCCCCCGGCCCGTGGTCCGTGGGCTCCAGACCGAGATGCCTGCAGGGACCAGGCCGATAACACAGAAGGAAGCAGCTAGATTATAAAATGATAGACAGCGGCTCCCCTGGGGCACCCCGAGAGCCCGTACCCCACCCCCACAGGCAGCTCACTGATGCCAGGCGGGCACGGAGGCCAGGCGGGCACTGTTCTTCAAGGGAAGCCAGATGTTCAGGACTTTGGACAAACCTTCCAATTTAAAATATGTTGACTCAAACCCAAGCTGAGCATTCTTGCGGGTTGAACCCGGGCAAACGCTGCCACGCTCTTGTTGCTCGGCCCCTCTCTGGGCTTCTCTTTTCCGGCACTTCCTGGTTGTGCCACACGGTTTACCCCTCCCCGGGGCTCCTCCCCAGCCTGGGCCCTTCCCGAGAGCAGAGGTGCTCCCTGTTTATCTCCGTGACCGTCCCTGGAGCCTAGGGAGACGTCGGAAGGGGGGCCCTTTGGGAGGGAGCTGCCGGTGGTGGGCTTGTCCCTCATCCACTGCCTCGATAGTTCCTGCACCGGTGGTGGGGGTCTGGCTGCCAGTGCTCCCACCGGTGCTCCCACGCTCAGGGGAGGAAGCGAGTTTGCAGAGAAGGATTTGCCTACAGTCACGAGATTTCAAGTCGAGCAACTGGGATTTGAACCTGGATCTGTTTTCCTTCCCAAGGCCAAGCCCGCCACAGGGGTGCTGTGAAGGCTTGCTCAGGCCCTGTGGCCAGAGCCCCCGGCCCGCACGGCCGAGTGACAGTGCTCCAGGCCCCCGGGTGCAGGTGAGCGCGGCCTCCCCGCCTGGCACGACTCCGCCAGCCCAGCGGTGGCCCAGCTAAATATACCCCGGCTGACGTCAGGCTCTCGGTTGCTCCTGGGGTTTTTCTTATGCTGCGTTTAAAGTTGGCGTGTTGCTTTGTAAAGATGCAGCTTTTTCCCTGGCCCCTTGGCAGACCGTCTTATTGAACATAATCTGACTTAGATGACTGTAAAAATAATTCACAGCCGCCGTGTCAGCAAAGCTGGTGTGTGTCGGGGGGGCGCGTTCTGGTCAGTGTCGGATCATTTAGGTGATGGAAGCTCCCCTCCCCCGCCCCTCAAACATGCACACCCGCACACATGCACACAGAGACATATGTACACACACGCACACATGTACACACACACTTCTCTCCTTTCCTCTTTGTTTCTCACCCCTTCCCCCCACCCCCACCCAAGGCCACGGAAGGGGCCACCTGGGCTGGGCTGGGCGTGTGAGCTGCCTCCGGAGGTCCTGCACCTTGGGCATCAAGCACTTTCCTTTCCCGGCATGGAAGGGTCAGGAAGCTTCCTGGTGGGGTGCTGCCTGGCGTCCTCCCCTGGGGGCTCTGGTTTGCTTGGGCCCAGCGATGGCCTTCTCTTTCCTTTTCTCTCTCCTTCCCCTCCTTGACGCTCGCCAGGCCCCTGGGCCACCCCTAGACAGGTGGGAGGAGTCCTTCTACCCGACCCCACCCTGCAGGGGGGCTCCCCAGTCCCCCGGGGCTCTGTGTCGGGTTTGGGCCCCCAACCCTGGATGGTGACACGGCCTCTCTGCCGGTCCCTGAGCACACGCTGCCCCCAGGAACCGCGAGGCCAGGAGGCCAGGGGCGCTAGGTCCCTTCCACGTGCCCTGGTGCCACGTCTCTGCCTCCATCCTGCTTGGGGTCCCGGCTGCTGCAGGCTCTGTCCCATGTGCCTCCATGTGACCCCCCCGCCCATGGTAGCGGTCAGCTCAGGCTGGAACCAGGTGCCTGCCCCAGTCCGCCCCAGCCCTTGCTCTCCACGGGGAGCCCTCAGGGCCTCGGATTGGAAAGGGGAAGGGGTTATTCCTTGTTCACCTGGAGGGTGCCCGCAAGGCAGTCGCAGCAGGCCTGGGCTCATCCGGAAGAAGGAAGAGGGGTGAGCGACAGGGAGAAGTGAGCTACCCATCCCTGAAGATGGGTAGCTGTGAATTATTTTTACAGTCATCTAAGTCAGATTATGTTCAATAAGACGGTCTGCCAAGGGGCCAGGGAAAAAGCTGCATCTTTACAAAGCAATACTCGAACTTTAAACGCAGCATAAGAAAAACCCCTGCGGAGGCGGACGCCCCGGGAGGACTGCTGTGGACAGATTCTGGGGCATTTGTTCTGAGCACCCGCTGCCGACCCTTCGCCCTTCTGGGAGCCAGAGACAGGGCAGGGAACAAGCGGGGCAGCAGTCCTAGCCATGAGAGGCGACGGTCCAGCAGTTGCTTACATTTGAAATGAGATGTCATTTCATATAGTGACAAGCACTATGGAAAAAGTGCACCCGGGTAGGAGGACAACAGTGGGGCCAAGTGCCCCTCGGAGGAGGTGAGGTCTGAGAACAACCCGAAGGAAGCCGGGCAGTGCAGACAGCAGGTGCAAAGGCCCTGAGGCGGCAGGTGTCTGGCAGGAGCAGGAGCAGCTGGAGGGCTGGGTCGTGGTGGGGTGAGGTCGGGAAGGTGGCTGTGCAGGAGGATGACACGGAACGGGGGGATCCCACATAGGGGAATTGTGGTGGGTGGATGTGAGGTGGGAAGGAGAAGAAAGGACCCAGTTTGCCATTGAAAGGCTTTCGGCCTGGGGGCGGGGGGAGAATGGGTGCGCAGGGCTGAAGCTGCTCCCCGGCGAGGGGCGGTGGGGGCAGGAGTGCTGGGATTCGCAGACAAGATTTGCTGTGACGAGGACCTCGAACAGAGGACTCAGGTCCAGATCCTAGCAGTACCACATGAATGTGCAGCTGCCACCCACGCATTGCATATGAAAGGCTAAACACGAGGGAAAAGGAGCCTGGGCAGCGTCCAGCCCGAGCTGTTATCGCGTTGTTCCGAAGCGTGCTAACTCCCTTGGCTTTGCCCGGACGTGCCGTGAGACGCAGCCTCGGCCCTGGCGGGAACCGAAGGGATTCCCACATGGGCAGGCGTGCGTGTTGAGGCTGGACATCCTGAGGGGTCAGGAGCTGGCAGGTCCCTGGACGGCCGGGGATGGGGACAGCGCCGGGTGCCCCTATTAAGCCCTCTCCCCGTCTCTCTTTGCATGTCCTCAGAGCGGGACGCCTTCGACACGCTGTTCGACCACGCCCCGGACAAGCTCAGCGTGGTGAAGAAGGTGAGTGGCGCTGTCCTCCGGCTCCGCTCTCCGGCAGCCTGCGGTGACGGAGGCGGGGAGTGTTTGGAGTCTCTGAAACGTTTGCCACATGGATTGAGATGTAATTACAGTCAGAACCCTAACTACAGTGCGTAAAATTAGCGCCTTTTAACTCAACATCCCTGCTCCCTGGGCAGCCCCTGCCCACCCCTTTGCTGCTGTTAAGTGAATCACCAGCAGCAGTTCGTTCCGGCTCCAGGCCGTGTCTCAGTGTCACCTGTGGCGCTGGCCTCATTACCACGAAGCTGCTGCGGCACTCAGGCAGGCCCGGGGACAGGGCTGCTCTGCCCCTGGACCTGGCCTCCAGACGGAGGCCGGGCGGTACCAGCCCCGCGGCTGCTGGCCGGCGTGTGGGCGGGGAAGGCCGCCTGCACCCGGGCTCCAGAGCGGGGCTGGGTATAGCCAGCTCCCGGGGGTCCTGCCGGGAGTTCCCTGTTTCCGCCCTCGGTTGGGGAGCCGTCCGTGCTTGCGGAAGTTCCATTCGGGGCGCCCGCAGTGGGGCGGATGCGAGTTTCTCCGCTGTGACGTCCGAGGCCCAGGGAATGTCGTCCTGCGTCGTCTAGGTGGCTTCCCCGGACGGGTTCTCAGCGCAGGGCTTGTGACAGCCTGTAGCGCACTCCTCTGGGTGGGGATGGGGTTCTAGGAGGCTTTTCCCAAACCGGTTTGTGATAGTGGGATCTATCTGTTAGTCTGGGGGTGGAACACACGCGTTCCCGTGGGACCCACTTGTGGAAAGCGGTTCAGGCTCGGACAGCGAGGCCGTCAGTGCGTGGACGCGTTGTGCAGAAGGCTGTCGGAGCCACGCCAGCGGTCCTTCTGGGTCGGAGCTGTTCTGGAGTCCTCGGGTCACGGGTGACATACTTGGAGCCTCAGAGTCCCCACCCTCCCTGTCACATCCGACCCCAGGGACCCTGACAGAATCAGGCCCGTGGATGAATCCAATCCAGCTCCCCCACTTACTAGCTGTGTGTCAGCCTCAGTTTCCCCATCTGTCAGGAGGGGACAGAGACAGTCCCTGCCTCTTAGGGGCACTGTGGGGGGGATGACCTGGGGTCCAGCCTGTGCCAGGGCTCCGTGTGCGGGGCAGGGTCACCAACAGTGCTGGACGTGATGCAGCCTTCATCTTTCCGTAGACAACGATGATGTCGATTCACTTTTTGGAGAGACACGTTTTGGGGACTGGGGCCACCGGTGGGGAACAAGACAAAACCCTTTTATCTGCCTGGTGGCTTCTCCCTCCAGCCTGCTCCTCCTTAGCCCCCGGCCACCTCTGCAGCCCTCTGCCCAGACCGCCCACTCCTAGCGCCCTCCCCTCCCCACGGAGGGTTCTAGATGTGCCTGGCCGCCCACTCGGCCCACGCCCAGCTCCCCGGCCCACGCTTGGGGCCAGCTCAGATGTTCCCTCCCTCCGTGCCGAGCGGGAGGAGACCTCCTGGGCTTCCCGCAGTGCCGCGTGTCCACGGAGAGTCCCGCTGCGGGCCCTCTAGGGAGGGGCTCGCTGTCTCACAGTCTGCGTCCCCAGCGCCAAGCAGCGTGCCTGGCCCGGGGGAGAGCATACACTTGGGTAGAATGAGTAAGAAACCTTGGGGGGGGGGTACTGAGTTGCCATTGAAGTCGGGCTGGATTGCCAACACGTTGCAGGCGGCAGCGAGGAGCCAGTGCCCCTCGGTACCCCGGCAGCCCGAGAGAAAGCCCCGGATGGCTGTCCCCACGTCCTGAGAACGCAGCCGTGTAGCGGGCAGCCTTTCCCGCTCAACCTTCTGAAGGTGCCGCTTGCGTTCAGGGTTACATCTAAGACACGTTTGGAAATTTAATTATCTTCCCCTGACAGTTTTATCTTCCTTAAGAGCACGGATCATTCTTCTGTGATTGCCAACCGCGGCACACGCGTGCCGGGGCTGGGGCACGAAGATGCGCGCTTTCCCCTCCGGCCGGGTCGACGCGGGCGCGATGCCGCCCGCGCTGAGGCTGCTGGGAGGTGGTTGCGTCTGCACCCCGGGCCTGTTGTTTCAGCGCAGGAAGGGGGGCTGTGGGAGCGTCCCACAACGCCGCCCGGGCCCGCGTCAGACCTGCCCCGCCCGGCGGGACCGCACGTGGCCACTCACGCCGCCCGTGTCTCGTTCTCTTGCCAGTCTCTCATCACGTTCGTGAACAAGCACCTGAACAAGCTCAACCTGGAGGTGACGGAGCTGGAGAGCCAGGTATGCGGGCCGAAGGTCCTTTGTAGTCTCGGGCAGCTGGTTGCTCCCCGGACGGGCGCGGGAGCGGGGCAGACACCCCGCCGTACGTCTCCGGTCCTGCAGCCAGAATAGCGCTGCGCCCGGCCGCCGTGGCCCCTCAGACCCTCTGTGCTGGTGTCCGGGAGCCCCGCCGCAACAGGGCGCCACAGGCTGAGTGTCTAAGACAGCAGAAATGTGCGTCCTCCCAGTTCCGGAGGCCGGAAGCCCAAAATCCAGGCCGCGGCCGGGCTGGCTCCTTCCCAGGCTGTGAAGGAGCGTCTGTCTCGGGCCTTCCTCCGGCTTCCGAGGTTTTTCTGACTGTCTCTCGGCTCTTGGACGCATCCCTCCGGTCTCTGCCTCCGTCCTTGTGTGGCGTCTCCTCGTGTGCACGTCTGTCTGGCCGGGTGTCCCCTCTTTGTAAGGACGCTGTCCTATTGCATTAGAGCTACCCCAATGACTTGCTCTCCGCTGATGGCACCTGTACAGACTCTGCTTCCAGGTAAGGTTGCAGTCACAGGTGCGGGGGTTAGGACTCCAGCGTGTCTCTTTTGGGAGACACAGTTCAACCCATAACATCCCCCAAGGCTCCACCCCACCCTACCACAGGGGCTTTGCATGGGCAGGTCCCGCAGGTCTGGAATGCTCTGTCCCCCCTGCTGCTGCTGTCCCTTGCAGCTCTCACACCGAGCACTGTGGCTGGGACCCAGCTCGATAAAATGTTCCTCCAGTGAGCGAATACAGCATCTTTCTTTTGCAGGAAGTTTATCAAGTATCCTCAGCCCCCAGCCCCCACTCAAAGCTAAGGTAGCCTCATGAAAATATGTTTTTGTGAGCCACTCAGCAAGCATTAAAGACAAAATATAATTTTCTCAGGATTAACTGGGTGCTTGAATTTGGAGTCTTTTGGGTTCTCGGTACAGGCTTCTCTAATGCATAGCTGATCCTTCTTAAACCCCAGGCGATGGCATTCATTCCTTTCTCTTTCTTTAACTTTTCTCATTTGCTTTTCTAATTAAAAAAAGTAATTCAGGTTCATCGTAGAAATGTCTGAAAATGCAGATAAGCAAACCAAATAAAAATCATCTGTAATCCCATCAGCCAGAGATAACTGCGCGGAGGGTTTTATGCAGCTAATCGTGGGCGGCATGGGCCTGCATTTGAAAGCCTAACGGTCCGTTTTTAATGTGTGTGTTTATTTGCGCATTGTTTGCGAACACGTTTATCATCCTTAGCAATTTACTAATGTCGCGCATTTAGCCTCCGATTATTTGCTGTCTGATACGTTACCAGTCCAGGGGCACACTGGGTGCAGGGTGGAAACTCTCCGTTCTTCTCTGCTGCAGTCCTGCCCCGGCAAACTCTCCAGAGGTAACCAGCTACCGTTAGCGGCCAGAGGAGCGTTTCTCTCGGTATTTTCTGCACATAAATGTATGTTTTTAAGGACAGTAGATCATACTGTTAGCTGTTTTGTAATGTGTTTTTGTAACTGAACATATTGTGGACATCTTTTTGCATAAGAGGAAAAAGTGTGTGTGTGTGTGTGTATGTGTGTGTGCGTGCCTGTGTGGCCGCTGTCGCTGGGAAGCGTGTCTCCGTGTCGCTGGGGAGCGTGTCTCCGTGTCGCTGGGGAGCGTGTCTCCTTGTCGGAAGGCTGCACCAGACCCAGTTGACCCAGAGCGTCAGGACTGGACGTGTTCTGCTCTGGTCAGCGGCACACGTGGGTGTCCCAGTGTGTGGCTGTTTGCGCCCCATCTGTCCCCCGGCCGGAGCCTGGAAACGGCGGCATCAGAGCACAGGCTGCGTTGCCTGCCCCGACGGCCGGGACGGTGGGGTGCTGTCGGGCTGCTGGTCCTGCCGTGGGGCGTGTGCGCAGCCCCGCTTCCTCGCACTCCACCAGGGTTCCCTGCGCCCCCTGCGCTTCTCAGAGGGTCCTGGATGGGGACTCCAGACTCAAATCTGCATTCATCTTTATTTGCTTAGCACCTTCAGTCTTTTTTCTGCCATCACGCTCCGTAGACTCTTACATGTGTTTTTAATCAGTGGTCCGCCAGAAAACACCACTTGCCGCAGAGATGCACAGAATTATGTTTCTCTTGTTGCAAAGGAATTTGGGTGTTTTTATAAATACTGTACATTAGTGGCACTTATAAAGGGTGTATATCATTAAGTACATGAGGCCCGGGGCGTCAGAGAGGCCCAGGTGCAATTGCTGTCAGCGTGTGTGCTGTGCGTGGTGGTGCTTGTGCACATGCGTGTGTGTTTTCCCTCCTATAGATGATTTCCCCTGTGGACAGCTCCCAGCTCCGCGGCACTGGGCGGGTTCCTCAGCCTCGCCCTCCCGCCGCGCTCCCTCGCTGTGCCGCCCTCCCCGCGTGGCCGTCCCCGCCACGTCCCGCTGTACCAGGCGGGTGAGAAGACGCCAGGACCAGACGCAAGACCCCGGCCGTCACGGCCTGTGGGTGCAGCAGCTCGGCCCCCCAACCTCCCCGGGCGGTGGCAGGGGTCGCTGTCCTCACTCAGGCGGCAACTCCTGGCTACCGGGGAGCGAGTCCCTGGAGACGGGAGCGCTGGTCTCTTTGGGCGCCGGCCCGCGCCCCTCTGGGGGAAGCCACTGCTCTCGACCAGAGCGGGGCTGGTGTTAAGTTTCGGTGCAGAGACGCACGTTTTGTAAAAACCCTAATCGTGTCCTTAGAGGAGGAGGTGGCTTCTCCGTGGTGGGGGAGCCGGAGGCGTGTGGCAGGCAGGCCAGGCGTCACTCCTGCACCCGCTGCCAGCCTGTGGGGTCCGGGGCCTGGCGGCCCACTCGCGGCTGCCTTACCGTTTAGGGTTTCTAGCCACTGTCCCCTCCTAGGGGACACAGCTTGGAGCATGGGATGTTTGTGATTTTGACTTTGTGTCTAAAGATGCAGTCAAGGGACGTTTGAGGAGCTGCTGTTGATTTTAATAAGGCGCCTCCCGCCTGCAAGTTCTCGTTCTGCCCACTGCGCGTTGCCAGTCCCGGGAAAACCCGCTGCCCTGTCCACTTGTCCTGCCTGGGAATCTTCTAGACCACTGCTGACCGGTCGAACTGTCTGTCGTGAGGGACGTGTCCGCTAGCTGCGCCGTCCCGTACGGCAGCCACGGGCCGCATGTGGCTACCGAGCACTTGAAAACGTGGCTTGAGTGACTGAGGAGCTGAATTTTGCATTTCAGTTTTATAGAAAACTCTAAGAGTTGCGGAGAGCGGCCGTGCAGCAGAGTGAGTGTGCTTAGCATGACGGAACCGTGCACTTAAAAGTGGTAAAGGTGCCGAATGTCATGTTGTGTATATTGTACCTCGATTAATTAATGGATTAAAAATAAAGAGCAAACTCAACATACGCCAGACAGGAAAAGACAGGCACCGCAGGACTCCAGCAACGTGGGGTCCCAGGGGAGTCAAGCGCACAGACAGGACATGGGACGGGGTGCAGGGCTGGGTGGGGGGGTCAGTGTCACCGCGTGCAGTTTCCAGGTGGGAGGACGAGACGTTCGGGACGTGGGCGGTGCCAATGGCAGTGCAGAAGTGCGGACGTGCTCGGGGCCACCAAACGGCGCGCTTAACAGTGGTCTAGGTGGTAAATTTCATGTCGTGTGTATTAAAAATCACAATCAATAAATCAGCAGCATTCAAACAAAAGCGTTTTAATTTAAATAGCGGCGTGTGCCTGCAGCCACCCGATGGAGCAGCGGTTCTAGCCCTGCAGCCTCCGCTGGAGGCAAGGTGCCGCCCACCCGTCCCGGCTGCTCCCTGCGGGTCATGAGCCAGTCACCCCCGCAGCTGCCACCGAGCGCTCGCTGTGTGCCGGGTCCCCGAGACGGCCCTGAGCCACGGGAGCCGGCGCCATCCCCAGGGACAGTGGCTGGGGCCGGTCGCAGGTCCGTGGTCCCGACCAGGCAGCCGAGCTCAGCCCCAAGCACTCGCCCCCACGGGGGCCTTCCCAGCACCTGTGCGTCAGGCCACCCCCCTCTCGTTGTGTTGTGTGGGTGGCGCCAAGTCCCCTTCACCCCAGGCGCTTCCCGGACTCTAGGTTCTCCCGCCTGTGGCGGAGGGAGCGATGGATCGTTTCACTGTAACACATTCCCCCTGCCTGGGTTTGTGCAGAGTGCTCACCAGCCCCGACACTCCCAGAAACGTCACCCCGCGTCTCTCCGCAGTTTGCAGATGGCGTGTACCTGGTCTTGCTCGTGGGCCTTCTTGAAGACTACTTCGTTCCTCTGCACAACTTCTACCTGACCCCGGAGAGCTTCGATCAGAAGGTACGCGCGTGGCCTCTGTCCTTCGTAGTGGCTCCAGAAATGCTCGTTGAAACACGGAGCAGGGGGTAATTCCGACGGCTCCTTCTGCAGCCCAGCTGCAGTCTTCAAAGAGTAAAATTTGCACGAGTGACGTTGCAGTTGGATGTCTCTCTCGGCAGGAGAAATAAGACGCCCGTCGGCAGCACACTGCACACCCCGGTTTTGTTGGGTGCATTCCCTTTGGGGTCTTTCCACGTTCCCTTTGGGGTCTTTCCACGTTCCCTTTGGGGACCGTGTCAGATGTCACGGAGCCGCACACCCTCCCCTGTCCCGCTGCAGACGTCAGCCCTGTCTTTCCCCGACGTTGCACAGGTTTCCTGGACGCCATTTCCGCGGTGGCCCAAGGTCCCCGGGAGCAGTTCTGTTGACGGTGTCTCCCTGCTCCCCTCTCTTGGGCAGGGAATTTGTGTCTGTTTTTCCCCTTCTCAAACAATAGGGCATCTTCTCGATTCTGTGTGTATATGTATATCCTCCCCCCCTCCCCCTTTTTTTTTTTCCATTCCTGTGTGTGGTTTTCTTAGGAGAGTTTCTCAGGTGGGAGTGGGTGAGTCAGTCCTGCAGGCCTGGGCCGGCCCCACCCTCAGTGCCGCCATCTTTGCCGCCTGCCCGGGGCCTCCCGCAGTGAAGTCTGTCGCACGGCGGTGTTTAGTTCATCGCGTTAGAAACTTGGCTGTGCGCGGGCTGGGTTGCTCTGGACTCGCAGGCATCTGTCATTTTATTTCCCCAAAGTGCTAGACCCGTGAGTCAGGGAGGCAGACAGCGCAAGCCGGTGGCGGCAGCCAGAGAAGCGGCGGAAAATGGGGCCCGTGTTCATCAATCTGCCCGCTTCTGGCACCTGGCAGTCTGTGTGCTTGTAGCCAAGCGCGGCTCCTGTCTGGCCTGCTGAGAGAGAGTCAGAACAGATTAGAGGGGTCTTGGCATGATGGGCCCGTGCTGAGTGGAGAGAGCGCACGCGTGTGCACCGAGGGAGCGCGCGGATCCGCGCAGAGCTGGGCGTGAAGTGTGGGCGTCTGTGCTGCTGTTCTGGAACGAGAAGACAGACAGTTTGACGGAGGAGCTCAGCATTTCCAGGCCCACACGCGGCTGACTGCAGAACCCTTGTTTTGGAGATATCCTCCCTTGGCTCAAACCGATAAGAAAACAGGGGCAAGAGCAGTGGATTCAGCCGGGAGATCCAGAGCTGGTCGGCGTCTTCCCTTTGAAACGGGGATCAAAGTCCTCGCCAGCTGCTGCCCAGCCTGGAAGGCCGAAAAGGCCTGAGTCATCCGCCTCCACCTCTGGGCGGGCAGGGCCGGGAAGGCTATTTTAGGGCACAGCGCGCAGCGGCCCTTGGCCCTGGTGCAGGGGGCCTTGGGTCCACGGGGCCCGCGGGCGGCAGGCGCTCTCTCCTCTGGAGGCTCCGTGGACGCCGCTGCCCCCCCCCCCGTGACCCCCTCCCCCCGTAGGGCTTATGTGAGCACCCATGAAGTTTATAATCTGCCTCCTGGCCCTCTCGCCCCCAGGCAGGTGGGTGGTCCCCGCAGCAGAGGACTGACCCACTTCAACCGCGCCCAGCGCCTGTGCGCCCGGCACTGCCGTAGATGGGCGGCGCGGGCCCTGTTTAGTGACATCTCCTGTGGGCGGAGGCCCCACATGTCCCCAGGGAGGGACCGAGGTTCACTGGGCAAAGCCCGAGGTGCACCAGGAGCTGCTGTCCCCAGGCAAGGAGGTGACTTGTTTTTAAACAGTTGCATGGGACTTTGTTTGTTTGTTTGTTGTTTGTTTGTTTTGAGACCGGGCAGCTGAGACCCGTAGTTTCTTGCTGACGAGTGACTGGCACCTGGGCGGGATCTCAGATGTGTGGGCAGGAACGCGGCATTCTGTTCCAAAGCCGCTGTCTGAGCATCGCTCTGTGTTGGCCGCTGTGCCGAGCGCCTTGCCCCCCGATTGCCGCTCTGCGAGCTCTGCAGACTCAGCTCTGCGCAGAGGGCACCCCTGGAAGAAGATGCTAGAAGGGGCTTGGCGGTTTCAGGTGCTTTCTCCTCTGTCCCCTCAGCCGACTCCCTCCACGAGGAATCTCAGAAACGCTGAGAGACCAGCCCAAGGCCACACAGCCAACAAAGGCAGGGCAGGGAGAGTTGACTCCTGTTCCGGAACCTTCTGTTCTTTTCCCACCTGGCCAGGTCTTCTAACAGCCTGGAACTGCAGAGAGCAAGGATCTCGGGGTGTCCTACCTGTGTGGCTGGCGCAGAGTGGGGACGCACGTGCGTGGCCTGGTCCCCACCAGCCTCGGGGCCTCCCTCTGCGGTCACGGCGGGGAGGGTGGGCTCGGCCTCGCCAGGAGCCGGCTGCCGCCGTCGTCTGCGCAGGGGCCGGGGCGCAGGGAGCGTCTCTGCTGGGCGTGACGAGTTGTCAGGGTGGAGGCACGGCCCTGAGAGGTGACAAGCGCAGGACGGTGGTCATTTCCTGTCTCGAAATTCCTCGGACTGAGAAGAAAGCAGAAGGGAAATCTCGCTTCCAAAGCAGTTACTGTCCAGCCGAGCAGCTGCAGAGGACAGGGGCTTGGACGGGCTCCCCCGAACCGTTCTCTCCGCGGGCAGGGGCTCGGGCAGGGCCACACCTGCCGTCTGCGGGCAGCGGGCGGTGGGCGGCCAGGGGGGGCAGCGGCTGGACCGCAGTGTGGACTCCTTCCTCGGCAGGTCCACAACGTGTCCTTCGCCTTCGACCTGATGCTGGACGGAGGCCTCAAGAAGCCCAAGGCTCGCCCCGAAGGTAACGCCCCCAGGGAGGGACGCAGACCAGGTCTCAGCGGTGATGGGAAGGCCAGACGTGTGGTCTCCCGGATGGGCCCCGAGTGTCTGGCTTGTAGCCGGGCTCTGCCCACCCCAGCTCTTTGCTTGTGGGCACCCCGTTTTGCCGTGGCCCCCTCCCCAGCCCCGCTTTTCCTCCTGAGCCCCCCCCCAGTGGTGTATGAGTTGGGGGAGGCTGTGAGGTTTCCCGTACCCCCTGCCAGCACCCGCTCAGCAGTGGGGTCTGCAGAGTCTCAGACTTCCGGAGAATTCTATCCACCCGCTGCAGCCACCACCTCCTCCTGTCCACGCAGCGGTCCTGGCTGCCCTCCTGCCCGTCTGTCCCCCTCTCGAGTTTCACGTGCAATTCCGTGCCCTCCTTCCGCATACGTGTGTAGCTGTTTATTCACTGTTGTCCCCCAGAGTGGAAGCCCCGGGAGGGCAGGGCTCGTGCCCCGCATGCCTGGTGCTGAGAGCGGTGCCTGCCGGGCAGTGTCGTGCAGGGAGGGCGGGAGGGGACATGCCGCCTGGGCAGCCCGGCCTGGCCCACGAGGACGCCTCGCTGCTGCTGCTGCTGCTGCTGCCGCCTTTTGGGTGCTGGGAGATGGGTGTGGGGGTGGTCGAGAGCCAGAGGGTCCCGCGCTGCCAACCTGGCTGGTGTCCTGGGGCAGGTTGCTTTGCCTTCCTGTGCCTGGCTCTCCTTGTCTTCGAGGGGGAGTGACGATGGTACCTGCCTCTGCCTGCCTCGTGGGGTCGCTGGGGGCTCAGCGCTTACTCCTGTGGGCACCAGCAGAGGGTCCTGCCCGCAGACCGCGCCAGGTCCCTGCTGGCGGCTGAGGTTGTTAGCTCAGGTTAGCGTTTGCCTGGGCCGCAGCCTCAGGGAGGGGACGTCCTTGCTCACGGCCACCGTGGCTCCCACCCTTGGCCGGTGCTGTCTGTCGGTTTCCTCCAGCCCAGAGTCCTGGTCCCTGCGCAATGAGGGTGGGGGGTTGGGGGCTAGAGATGGGCCCCCTGGGCCCCCGAGCTGCCGAGGGAGGCATGGGCCTCTGTCCCCTTGTCAGGACTGAGGCAGGGGCCTGTCCAGGGACCGGGACCTCTTCTGCCAGGCCAGCGTCAAGGAGGGGATTTGCCCTTGGCTGGGTTTGTGTTTGTGCTCATCTGCCCACGGGACGCTGCCGCGTGGCCCGTCAGGAAAAGCGCCGTGGGAGCTGGAACCTGCGGAGGCGGCGGGGCCGGCCGAGCTCCGCAGCCTGCGGGGCAGGTCCCTCCGGTGTCCCGGCCTGTGGCCGGCCCAGGCAGGCGGCCAGGCTGCTGTGCCGCGCTCATTAGCGCCTTCGCTGGGCCAGCCCTGGGCCGGCGCCAAGCGGCAGAGACTCTCAGCTGGTCCCTCTAGGCCTCAGACTCTGGGGTGACGCAGCGATGACAGCTCTTTCCCTTCTCCGCTCACAGCCAGCTAGGGAGTGAGGACGGGGTGACAGAGATGACAGGGATGTGGAGAATGGGCGCTGAGCCCCCGGCCTCCCCGACACCCCCCAGTCAGGCAGACCCAGCGGGATCCTCGTGCGGGGGGAGCCGCACGGAGCCGTTCCTGGTGCCCCAGACCCCCTGCCTGGGGGGTCACCCCTTGGACCCCCTAGTGGAGGCCCTGGCCCCCCCAGGACGGCCCCTTTGCTGGGAGAGGGCCTCGTGCTCGTCTCAGTGAAGTTGCCGCGGGGGCCGGACGGTGGGGCAGGCGTTTGGGGGCACAGAGGGACGCCTGGCCCACCGGAGGGGGGCGAAGCTCCTGGGGTCACAGGACAGGATTCCTGTCCTTGGGCGCAGGGGGCAGGGGTGGCTGCGGTTGGTGGGGGTCCAGTGGGCCTCGGGAGTGTGGTGTTTTGTCTCCCCAGCGAGGCTCTGGAAGCCTCGAAGTTCTCTGGGTTCAAACCTGGGGGCTGCTGAGCGGGGGCCTCAGTGGCTGGGCTGCCACGTGGCTCTCCCTGCAAACCCACTGCATGCCCCCCCTTTCCCACCGCCCTGCCCTCCCTCTCCACCACCCTGTCCTCCCTCTCCGCCACCCTGTCCTCCCTCTCCGCCACCCTGCCCTCCCTCTCCGCCGCCTGCCCTGGGGCGCAGCTCCCGGCGGCCCTTACAGGAGCGTGATTTCTCGGCCCGCCAGCGCTCCCTCTGTTTCCTTCTGCAGATGTGGTGAACCTGGACCTCAAATCCACCCTGCGGGTTCTTTACAACCTGTTCACCAAGTACAAGAACGTCGAGTGACGGAGCAGCCGGCGGCGGGCGCGGCTTCCCAGCGAGAAAGGCGGAGCCTGCCCGCCCGCGCCCTCCGGGGAGATGCCCAGCTCCCGGTGCCAGCTGTGTGATCCCCGCCCCCACCTTTTCATGGTTAATGTCCCCCCCCACCCCCCGTTGTTCTGACACCCCCTTCCCACGTGACTCGCGGTGGTGGGGGCCTTCGAAATTCGGGGTGAGGGCCGGGGCTCGTCCTGGAGGCCGCGCCTCACCTCCTTCCACGGAGGCCGAGTCAGGTGCCACCTGTCTGACCCAAAGACGAAAAGGAGAAAAGCCCAAGTCCCAGCGCCCAGCCTACCGAGCGCCGCCCGCTTCCATCCCGTGGCGCGGCGAGCCGTCAGAAACGCACCGCAGCTCCGCACGGACGCCGGCGCCCCCGGACGTGGGCCGCGCCGTTCTCCGAGTCCCGGGCTGGGCTGGGCTGGCGGCGAGGCCTTGCCAACGGAGTTTTGCGGTTTTGGAAACTTGAAAGCCCCAGAAGCTTTAAGTGTGATGCGAGTGTCCGTCCCGCCGGCCTGTTCCTCCTTGGCCACTCGGTGCGGGTTCGGTTTGGCTTCCGCACGAAGAGCAGGCCCAGGACAACCCAAGCGCCGCGGTCCGCGGGAGCGGCGGCTGGCTGAGGGGACCGGGTGGGGCTGGCTGTGCGTGTGCGGCCGAGGCAGCCCGTGCCAGGACTCCCCGTCTCCGAGGCCCTGTCTGGGAGTGGATGCATTTTTAGAAACCTTAAAAAGAAAAGAGAGGGGGCTGTGTTCGTGTGCCAGGGCTGCCGTGACAAAGCGCCGCGGAGTGGGGGCTCGGGCGACAGAAGTTTGTTTCTCACGGTCCTGGAGGCTGGAAGTCCGAGATCCAGGAAGCCCGAGAGCCAGGTGTCGGCAGGGCGGGTTCCATCGGGGGCCTGTCTCCCGGGCTTGCGGTCGGCCGCCTTCTCCCCGGTCATCCCTCTGCCTGTGTCCGTGTCAGGATCTCCTCTTCTTACGGGGACACGGTCCTGCTGGGTTAGGGTCCCCACGAGTGACCTCATTTAAGCGCAGTTAACCTCTGTAAGGCCCTGGCTCCAAACACAGCCACACTCTGAGGGCCTGGGGCCAGGACTTCAGCACGTGAATTGGGGGTGGGGAGGACGGTGGAGCCCCTGAGATAGGAAACCTACAGAAGGAAACGCCGGTCTCCTTTGAGGGCGATTTGTGGGCGGCTCACCCCTCGCCTCCCCGGGCTCTGGGGAAGTGGGCATCCCATCGGCCGCGTGTTCTGGGCTGGCTCCCCCTGGGTCTCAGTGGGTTCTGCACCGTGGCACCCCCCAACCCCCCACAGCCCAGCTCCACCCCCACCCGGGGGCACGCCCGCTTCTGCAGAGGGGCCCCTTCCCGGAGTTCTCGGCATCCTCCGCAGTGAGAAGGGCCTTTCTGATCTCCAAGGTTCACCTTCCTGCTGTAGGTCGGAGCTTCTGAGGACGTTGCTGATATTAAATGCAATGCCAACTCCAAAGCATTCTCCCCCAGCTCCGCGTTGCAGGCTGGGGACGGGTTCCGGGTAGTTCCAGATAGTTCTGGTGGAGGTGGTTTCCCAGCGGGGGAAAGGAATAATTAAAACAGCATCACGGCTTCTCCTGAGGGATGCAGTGACATTAAAGAGCCACGCTGGCAAACTAGCCGGGGCTGGAACGTTCTGTGCCGTCTTCGCTGCGTGCACAGAGTCACGGCAACCTGGAGCCGGTGGGGTGGGGGTGGGGCCCGCCCGCCTGTTCCGCAGGTGGGCTCGGCGAGGGCCCGAGTCTCCCTGGGGGATCGGGATTTGGAACAAGCGCAGGCACAGATTTTCAGCCCAAACGGGCAGTTCCGGCCCATTTCGTGCCATTGAAGCGGAGGAGAAGATTGCTCTGGGAGGGGCTTTGCCTTCCCGGGGTGGTCCTGGCAGCTCCCATCTGGCAAGCTCAAGTCCAGCCTCTTGCCAGCTTCACGCTGTGCTGTGTTTCGGGCAGAACAATGAGAAGAAGGTCTGGGGCGCTCTGCACGGGCACTCTGCTTCCCAACAGGGACTGGTCACGCGTGATTCCAACAAGGATGTCATCTCTGTTTGGGGGCGGAGGGGCTCTCGCTCTGTCTGTGGCCCAGGCTGGAGTGCAGCAGTGCCATCACAGCTCGATGCACCCTCCAACTCCTGGGCCCCAGCGGTCCTTCCGCCTCAGCCTCCCCGGTAGCTGGGGCTATGGGTGCCCGGTTTGGATGTGATTTTTTTGTCCACGTTCCTTTCCAGTTGGTTCAGAGGTGTGAGTGAGCCTCTGGGGCCTGACACGTCTCATTCTTCTCCCTCCGCGACGGGCTCAAGTCCCAACCCGATGCATCAGGGCCAGTTCCGAGGCAGGATTTGGGATTAGCTCCGTCTGGGGTCGGCTCTGCTGTGTTCTCCCATAACCAGTCCTCGGTTCCCACCCGCTCGGGGGGGTGGGGGGGTGGTTGGAGGGACGTGAGACTCGGGGTGAGGTGCTCCTTGCCCACAGCCCGGGTTCTTGGTTAGGGGAGTCTGGCCCCTGCCTCCCCGTCTCACACCACGTTCTCAGTGAGCTGCTCTTCTCCGAAGAGGGGCCCTGGTCCCTGGGAACTAAGGGAAGCCAGAGCACCGGGTGCATCCACGAGGGCCCAGCCCGACAGCCGTGGCACAAGCAGGTCTCAGGTCCACAAGGCCTCAGTGGATGGCCGGGCGGGAGCCACAGAGCATCTGCCACTTGTCCTGCTGTGTGACGTGTCCCTAGACCCCCCCCCGCTGGTTTTGGGGAGCCCGCTTGCAGCTGGGGTTCCCCTTTGACAGCTACGCAGTGTTTTGGGGGCGCCGAGCCCAGAGCCCCGCGGTGCCCGTGTCCTGACTGGGTGTCACAAAGAGCGATTTCATTCTAAAGCAGCCGAACCCTCCCCCCTCACATTTTGGATGCCGACATTTTACCGCCTCTGTAATTGTCTTAAGCAATGTTTACTTTGGAATTCTGGATGCTCAATAAAAGCCACTAAAGTCCCGGCCATGCCACCGGCCGGGCCTGCCCGGGAGTGCAGGGAGCCGGCGCTGCTGCGGGTGAGCGTGCCACCTGCGCCAGCCGGGCGCGGCCTAGGCAGGAGGTGCGGTTGGGCAATGCTGCGTGCTGTCGCAATGGGCGGTTATTCCTGACAATAAAGAACTCGTGAGCACGGGGTTGCACTCTGTCTTCGTTTGGCTGCTACTTTTGTCTCTCGTGGTCATTGCGGTGCCAGCCCAGGGCTAGGTGCGGGGGCCGTGGGGGTCCACGCGGCCGGGGCTGCCTGTGAGCTTCCCGTCGCGTGGGGGAGGGGCTGGGGCTGGGGGTGTCCAGGCGGGACTATGGGGAAAGGAGGGCGGCAGAGCCACCGCTACAGATGAGTCACAAGGAACGGATCAGGGCGAGTCTTGCTAGGGGCACAGTCCAGAAAAAGTGTCCCTGCCGGGCCGTGGCCTCCTCCTTGCTCTTTGGAGGGGACTCAGGGTCGAGACGCCCTGCATGTGGACTAGCGAGGCCACTCTCGACTGTGGGGTGGGGGCCCTGTGTGACCAGCATGGGGCCCAACCTTTTGTGCTCCATGCCGGCCCTGCCGTAAACCCTCCGGGGCGGAAGTCGTGGGATGCTTCGGTGGGTGGAACTTTAGTTTCAAAATGGTCTTACGACTGGGACCGTGGCAGGACGGCCAGCCCGGAGAGCAAGGCAGCACTGTCCGTTCCTAAACAGACTAGAAATCATAAACGGACTGGAAAGAGCCGGAACCTTCCAGCTCAGGGATCTGAGGGATGAATTCAACCCACCCTTCTTTGAGTCAGCCGTCCTCACCCGGGGCTGACTCTGGCCCTCGGGTCTTCGGCGCTGTGTGCAGACGACTGGGGTTGTCACAGCTCAGGGGGCAGGTGCTCCTGGCTCGTGGCACGCGGGGGCCCGGGCTGCCGGACAACATCCTCCCAAGCACGGGGCAGCCCCTCCCTGCAGCAAAGAGTCACCTGGCCCCACATGTCCACTGATCCTGCTGTGGACTGCCAGGTCCGAGAGCCAGCCTGTCTCGACCTGTGCTTTGATTGGCAGGGACTCCCCTGTCGCTCGATGAGGACGAGACCGTTGTCCCCTGAGGTGCCCGTTCTCTGAGGCCAGCGGTGGAGTGTGAGCTCCCAGGGATCTTCTCGCCGGTCCCGTTCAGTGGCCAGTCCTTCATCGAGGGTCTGGTTCGCCCAAGCCTGGGGTACGCAGAGGACCTGGAGGACATGCGGAAGCCACCATGAGAGAAGGAGCAGGGACCGAGTGCTTCAGGTGGGCAGGTGGGGGCTGGGCCAGGTGTGCCCCAGTCCTTCCTCTTTTATGAAAGTTGTGTGGGTCCCAAGGTGGGCTCCCTGGCGTGAGCAGCCAGCCCTCTGGAAAGCCCCAGTCCAGCTCCCCAGGTGTCTCTGACGGGGGGAGGGGCTCTCTGCTTGGGCCGGGGTCCCCTCCTTTCCCTGTGACCAGTCTCTGGGGAACGGTGACATTCAGGGCCATGTGCCATGGATCTGGCAGAACTGGGCGTCTCACTCAACCCTTCCCCAGGCAGGAGCCACTGGTGACTGCAGGGACGGGAACTTACCGCTCCCGCAGCGAGGACGTGATTGAGAAGGTTGGGTTTAGCCAGGTTTACTGTGAGTGGAGACCCACTCTTCGGGCCTTTAATCGGGTTCGATAAACCATGCTCATCATTACTGCAAGGGTTAGACTTTACTGGGAGTGAAGTCCCAGGGTATGGGGATTCTCAGGAGCCCAACACAATAGGAACCTCGGACGTTCATGTAGTAAGTGTCTTCTTGGGGCCTGGCGTGTGACCCACTGGGGAGGTATCGGGTACGGGGACCTGGAGTCGGGGGGAGGGGGCGGGGTGGGCAGAGCAGCGGGGCAAACAGGAAGTGCAGACAGGGCAGGTCTGGGCAGAAGGTAGAACGGGCCGGCAGGGCGCGCAATGGAGGTGGACGGGAAGGCTCCTGAGGCCGAGGGGCTGGAGCCAAGACCTCATACCCTTCCGTTCCCAGCCCTCTAGGACTGGGGTGGGCCATGGGGCTAGTTCTGTCAGCCGGGACGTGGTCCCCCGAGGCTCTGCACCTGCCATGTCGCCTTTAGGTGCACGTCACGTTCAAGCACGCACCCCTCTATGCACACCCGGCGTTCTTTTCAAAACGTCTACCCGGGTTCTGGTGTCCTGGGTATATTAGCTCCAGATTCCCCCCTCCCCCAAATTAATTCCTACAGAGTATTGGCAAGGCGAGCCCGAAACACTGCGCCGCACAGCAAGGGAGTGCAGTCGTCCGTGATGTCTGGGGGCTTGGATCCAGGAGCCCCTGGGTACCGAAACCAGGATGCTCGAGTCCCTGACAGCACGTGCAGCAGTATTAGCCTGTGACCTGCATGCACCCTCCGCGTGTTAGAGCATCTCTAGACCGCTCAGACTATCCGGCAACGTGAGTGCTGTGTGGATAGTCGTCACAGTGTATCGTTTGGAGGATGATGGTAAGAAAAATAACTGGTACTTGTTCGGTACAGGTGCAATTTTCTTTCAAATGTTTTCAATCCTCGGTCAGTTAAATCCACCAATGTGGAGCCTGAGGCCATGGGGGAGCCCCCGACTGTGCTCAGAGAATGAGGGGGACATAGGAGCTGCGAGTGTCCACATTTTCAATAATTTGAGCATCAAAAGGAATAGGGGAGGGTAAAACAAGGATGAAAGGAAGGACTTCATTTTTCT